CATGCTAAGTGAGCTAAAAAGTATTATGCTTCATGAGCTGAAGAGCCTTATAATACATGTAGCATATGGTTTTTCGACTGACTTTAATAATTCGTTAAAAAATCCAAATTTGATCGGAATCAACTCAGACTTTCTACACAACATGAGAATATGTATGTGTATCAGAAAAAATTATAAAAATGGAGAATTCTCTCCTAGTCATTTTTGGCGAAATTTGGCTCAAGACCCTGTACTATATATAGTACAGGGACTTTGACCCAATTCTTGAGCAACTTAAAAAATTCATATAAAATCCAATTTTGATCGGAATCAGCTCAAACTTTCTACACAACTTAAGAACATGTATGTGTATCAGAAAAAATTGTAAAAAAAGAAAATTCTCTTGTAAAAATTTTTGACAAAATACCTGTACTATAGTACAGGGACATTGGCTGAATCTTGGAGCACCTTGAAAATCCATTGACAAGATGCTACATTCATAAAGGCAGTGATAGACCTTATTGTTCTTTTATTTTAAAGGTATCTGCTAGTGCTGATGATCTAACTTCTGGTGGTGAGGATCGTAACTCTATCCATTCCTTTGGGTCTAATCACAGTGGGGGAGGAGGAGGGGGCGGAGCTAAGATTAATTTTGAATTATCGGCAGCTGCTAACACCCAAAGCACCGTTGTCTGATAATAAAGTACACAATAATACCCACTGATAATAATTAATAATTATTATTATGACTTGATATTGTGATTATAATATACTCTTTATCATTCTTCCTCTCTCTCTCTCTTTCTTGGAACTACTCGTGTTGCTTGCTTGTCTTATTGCTTTAATAACATTATTATTATTATTATTATTATTATTATTGTTGCATTTCTCAAGAGGTTAGATCCACTCATAGTGATATCCAGTGGAATGGAGGAGTAGAAATTACTAGTAGTAAATGACAATGATACACAACCAGATCATTCTACAGCTGGAGAGGAATTTTTATAAGAGAGAGACTGAGAAATAGATAGGAAGAGACAAGCTTCATAGATACATGTACATGCAGTTATGTGTACAGTCAGTTCCATTACCTGTACATGTACATGTACTTCATTCTGTTGATATTCTATTATTGGAATACTTTAATGCTGTAGCTACCATAACTAATTAATGACATCATCATAAAATCATATAGTGACTGTGATATCATAATAGTATCTACCATTGGGTGGAACTAATCTTAGCTCTAGATATGAATATTGTGAACACATACATGTAAATGTAATGTACATATTTTTAAATGGAACTTCCACCCACTACTGCAGTGAATCATTATATGTGCTTTGTTAAAGGTTAGTTAGTGTAGTGTTTGTACTGTAGACAAGATTCTGTCAACATTTCCAAGATGTCTTTCCTTTTATGGAAGTATATTTGGACTCTATTCAGGAAATATCAATATACACTGACTACTTGTGACAGGAACAGCTTCCTTATTCACCAGCATTGTGCTAAATAGCATCCATCAATAGAAAGCATGCAAGAATTAACTTGAAACAATCAACAAATGCCTAGCTGTAGAATTGAGTTACAAAATGTTTACATCACCCACAAAAACATGACTTCAATCATGGTTTATAGAATCAAACAACATACATACATTATCCACTAAACTACTGAGTCACTCCTAGGCTACTGTTGCGTATTTATAGTTAAATTGTATTGCTACCCCGGCGTTTATTTGAATGCGGCCTCTATTTAAGGAAATACGGTACTTTAGGAGTCCCTAGTTAGCTATTGTTTTTAGGGTTTAGGGATTAGGGTGGTGGTTTTTTAAGAGTGCCCCTAGTCATCATGAGCGGATCTAAGATTTAATTTTTGGGGGCAATTGTGAGATTGGAGGGGTGTGGTCAACTAAGCTTGTGCAAACATAGATATTAGAGTAATGAAAGGGATTGGAAATGGAAATGTGGGCATAGCCCAACCTCCATTCATTTGTACTGCTGATAGGCTGACAGAGGCTCGTTGTAATTTTTCGTCACAATTTACCCTTGATTTTCTTTCTTCTAGAAACAATATCTTGCGAACAAGTGTTCCTATGCAAGTGAAATTAATGCATAAAGAAGTTCAATGTTTCCTCTTAATAATACTGTTTTCTATTGTACAGATAATTTTACCATGTTAATGTTATGACACTTTTAAAACCATAAAATGTATTTTTTGTCATTGTAATCCCTTTTTTGAAAACAAGCTAAGACCACTGCAATAAGGCTTATAGTTTCCCATTACAGAGGTGGGCCTGATGTGGGCAGGCGGGTTTGTTCATTTTCATTAAATTTATTCATTATGAGCTGCATAAATTGCTTGTATAATCAATGCAAAACTGCAATAAGAAATAGCGATGCGGCACCATGCAGGCGGGTAATGGGAAACAAGGAATCAAATTGAAGTGGCCTAAAGTAAAATACAAGATCTTTACAATCATATAATAGAGCTTTCATTTGCATATGGAATGATACTAGTTAAAGTTAGAATCTATGAAGCATGAGTTTGTTACAACAGAAAAAGGGTGAAAAATGAAAAAATTTTGTTGTACTTATAACTCGTTGCAAAATAGCGTTGTAGAAGTAAAAACTTTGCTACAAGTAGTCCTACACTTTCTATATGGAATGATAGGTATACCATAAGTAAGCGTCCTCTTGGATCTCCACAAATATCCTTCAAAGTTCTTGCAATACAGCCTCACTAATATAGGAGATTGGAAAATAACCAGGTATTGGGCTGGTAACCAATAGCAACATCAACCAGCCTACGCCCCGTTTCCAATCCCTTTCATTTACTCTATTATCTATGGTGCAAAACTTTAGGGAAGTAAAAACGTGACCATAATTAACAAAATGTATCTTATGGCGGGTAGTGAAATTTGTCTTTATAGTCAAAAAAATCCAACTTCCTGAGCTCCATTTATCATAAAATTACTCCAAAGGATGCAAAAAGTTACTATGTAACTTTTAGAAACAATGGTTGTCTAACAGAACACTCACAAGTTGATATTTTTTATTATAATGGTGAATTTTAAAATTTGCCATAAGGTATCTTTTGTCAATTATGAACAGTCACAAATTATGAAGACTAAGCCTACTAAAATGAGCTCTTTTGTGGTTTAAAGATTGTTTACATAGTCCAGTACTGCAGTTGCTTCACAGTTTACATAGGTAAGCCTAAGTTTACATTACTCCATAAAAATTTTTGGGGAATATTGCCCCCCTGGCTTCCCCCCATACCCGCCACTACTATAGTCATATCAAGAGTTCCCGTAGTTATGTTAGGAGTCCCCAAGGTTGGTTTAGGGTTTAGTTTTAGAGCGTCCCCTAGGTTTTAGAAGTCCTTCATTAGCTTAGAAGTCCATGATAAAAATAAGTTCCAATTTGCATCAATGCGCATGCGCACAAGGTTGTTTTACAGAGAAAAACAGACTGCCGGACATATAGTTCTGCCAGACAAATTTGGTTACCGGATCTATAGCCACTGCGTTAACCAATCAATTTATTATGCATGGACATGTAACAATAAATGAATTTAATTGAAATGGCCTTAGGAATTAAAGGATTCTAAATCTAAATCTCGTAACACAGGGTGATTCCTACATTAAGTTGCCATCATACCTATGCTTTCACTTTCAGATACCTCTTCCTCTTTAAAGCCTAGCAGAGAAAACTTTAGCAGACCAGACAACAATACCTGTAAATCTGTAAAAAAATGCAGTGACCTATGAGCGCGCCTATGAGACATTAAATAAAACTGTGTACCTTCTCCTTCCGAGTCTCTTTCTCCCCAACACCATAGATACTAAGACTTAGTAGTCTCGCAGCGGCCAGACCAAGATGTCGTATCTAACACTAACATCCGATCTGCCGTATATAGTCTTTAATATAAAGCAAGCCACGCCTTCTTCACAAAAAATAATTGAACTAAGCACGTGGTCACATGTGTTTAGTGATGGACAGTATTTTAAAAGATATGCTGAGTGTAATGGAGACACACATTGACTTTGAGAGACTATTAGAAGAAGTAAATAATCCAAACACTATCTCTTTATATATCTTTATCAGTTAGGATCAGAAGCAACCAATCTTCCTGATATATCACAAGGTATACAGTCACGTGACACTACTCATTGATCACGTGATCACAGGTTGGTCTGATGGTTTGAGACGAGTGATAGATCATCAATCAATGAGTCTGTCTCAGTCTCCAGAGACGTTTGGTACATGGCTACTGATTACTAAACTAAAAGAGACAAATGATGTAATACTGATGTAATTAATGTATTATTGATATTGTTACTATTATTAGGATAAGGTGATTGATGGGGTAATTAGTGTGGGCATGGTATTACGAGATTTGATGTATATTAATCATCAAAATTTAATGAA